AAGGGTACAGAATTCTCAAAGATGTAGCAGACATAGATCAGGTGGTCATAGATTTTTTTTTTTTTTTTTTTTTTAAGCAAAATAAAGCAAGCTCAGAATTTAAACTAGAGACTGTTTTTTACTGGGTGTGGTTAGGCTCCTGTTTATGGTCCAGTGGGAGAGCCAAAGCCCTGTATCTTTAACTACTTCTGACTAAGCAACAAAAGAGGCATGCTAGTGGTTCTGGGAGGATTCTTAAAATCAGAATCGCTAGCACTGCTCTCTGATGATAAAAATTTTCAATTTCTTTGCTCTTCATTGATGGACCAAATTTACTTCAATTTAAATTTAGTAGCCACATACAGCTAACAGCTATCATATATGCATCTTTATAGTTCATGATTTAAGAAAGCTTTCCTTAAGTGCTTTTAAAAAGATGAAAAAATTATTAAATTTTGTATTATAATTGAGTATTTATAAGGAAATAACCAGAACCAATTATTTTGTGTACATATGTATTTTTTAAATCAGTATATTATAAAGCAAATATTTTTCTTTTTGTAGGATCATCTTCTATGGCATCTGCATGTTGTGGAAGTTTAGCATTAATGGATGCAGGTAAAAGAATTATGTCTCAAAACTTCTAATGCTTTATTATACAGTACTTGGTTAGTATAAAATATAAGATTTCTTTCAAATTGAATATTTATTAGTAAGACTTAGAGAAGTCATATTACAACTTACCAAACCAGGCCAGAAGCAAAGTAGTCACAAATATCTGCTGGCATTCCTATTTTTTTGGCTAAAAGCAATACACTGAAATTGTTTACTTGCCCTTGGTGACCCAGTAAGCTTTCTCACCTTCCAAAAGGTGGAGAGCTCCACCTTTCACTAAAGTTGATTCCAGTAGTAGGACTGATAAGGGAAAATAACCATGTAATCATCCAGCCACTTTGTATAAGTTATGAGAAGAACAGTGCCACTCATAGAGTGTACACATAATTTTAAGAAGGAAGACTACAAGTGGTTATATATAATCTTTGAGTCTGAAACACTAAAAGGGAAAGAGTCAAAAACTTAAGAGTTTCTAATAACAGTTATTGCCAAATAGTCACTAATGATGCTATTCGAGAAAGAAAAAGGAATCTAAAGTCACTCAAGAGGCCACACAAGGATTTCCCCTATAAGTTTACACATTTACAGTACAAGTATGAAAGATAGGACAACCTATCGAAGGACAAAATAAAAGAATGGTGTGAATATATAACATTATCTAGGGAGATTAAAATTTAAGCCAAAGGGAAAAAAGCTAAAAGCAATTAAAGGTGTTTTTCTAGTTGTGTTCCATGGAAGGGAAACAATCTGATATTTAAGGTAACTAGTAGAATACTATTCCTATTTTCACCTTCAGGCATTCATTCAACACATCTTTATTGTATGCCACCCTTGTACCAAGCACTGATCTTAGTAGGACACAAAACAAAGTCCCTGTCCTTGTGGAGCTTGCATTCATCAGTCTTCTAATCTCAGTTTGGAAAACACAGAACAAATTTTGAAAAAGGTGAACTGAAAAGAGATTATAAGAGCTTTCAACTGTTTTAAATGAATTCAGATCTTTTGATTTAGACAAGAATCCATCCCAAGTATGATGAGTACTTCAAGATGAGATAACTGAAGTGTTTGAGAAATCACAGAGTCGTTAGTATACCAAAGACACAAAAAGTTCTTACTTCTGAAAGCAAAGAAAGGTATTTTCTATAAAGTATAACTCAGTGAACCTGAAAGTGACCCTCAGCAAGACTCTTACGTACACTATAAAAAGAATGGTTTATAAGGATTTTGTAAGGGACGAGGGCTGTGGAGAGTAGGAACCAGAGAAAGTCAAAATAAGTCATGCCATAGTAAACTAATATTTTGTTTTCAAAAATATTACTAGATTTGGAGTGAGGAGGGAGGGTACTGCTTATGCATTGTATCTAAAGTTCAGCCTTTATGATCTTTGTATAAATAATGCAGAAATTGAAACTGGATGCTAGGTGCACATTTCATAACTGGTTGAAGGATGAGCAAAGGGGATTTGTTAATCTGATGGGTCGGTAGGAGAAGGGTCTCAAGTGTAATACTTCAGGATGTGTCATCCTAAACCTTGTTCTTTTCACTATCCTTTGTTCATGAGTTAACTAAGAACACAGGCCTACCAATAAAAAGGATACTGATAGAAACCAATGAATGCATAAGTAAATGGAACAATAAATTGAAGTCTGTCTCTCCTTCCCTCCTTCCCCCTCTAAAATCAATCAACAAATAAAAGAGTTAAGATTACTATCATTAGAGAGAGCTTTGTGCTAAAAAAAAGAATTATTACTTGTTAGAATTGTTTTTAAGGGGCTTTTATTGTATGTTTAAGAAAAATGAGGTAGTTAGATAACTTATTAAGATCTTTCCACCCAGTGTGACTTAATTGGTTGAAAGATTGCTGGTTTGATTCCTGGTCAAGGCACATGCCCAGGTTTCAGGCTCAATCCCTGGTAGGGGGGGTGGGGGCATGCAGGAGGCAGCCAATCATATTTAACTCTCACATAAATGTTTCTCTGTCTCTCCCTCCTTCTCCCTTCCTCTCTCTCTCAAAAATCAATTTGAAAATCTTAAAAAAAAAAAGGAAGGGGGGGGGGGGGCGGGGTCTGTAACCAGAACCCAGAAGGAGTCAAATACCAAAGGACACAGCCAGGTAGGGTGACCTCAGAAGGAGGGAAATCTTTTTTTAAAAAGACCTTTCCGAATTAGTTTCGGTGACTGTCAATTTAGAATACCATCCACTTACATTAAAATAAATGTCAACAGAATGATAAATGTATGTGTTAGGCTGATGTATCTATCACACAGAAGTTCTTTCTCTCAATTACAGGGGTTCCTATTTCATCTGCTGTCGCGGGTGTGGCAGTAGGATTGGTGACCAAAAACAATCCTGATAAGGATGAAATAGAAGATTATCGTTTGCTAACAGATATTCTGGCAAGTATATTCACATTTTCCAATACTTAACTGTAAAAATTATACATACTTTACAAGCATCTTTGCTTAAAAGAATGCTAGGACTCAAGATATAGAAGTTCTTGTTCTTGATTTCCTCCTCTACATTTTCTCCTTGTTTTTTATAGGATGTGAGTTAAAAATATATGTTACATATAAATATCCATAGTTTAGCTCACTTTAGGATAATCATAAATTAATCCTCATGCTTTTAGGGAAAAACATGATCTAAAAGAGTGATTTTTCAGATGAAATATTTGTAACTTAAAAGTCACAAATTGGAAGCAGTTAAAATATGTGTGTCATCTTAGAGGACACAGTTTACTATATCTAAAGCTATTTTTTAAAATTTCTCTACAATGACAATGAGTGAATTTTGTTTGTATTTAAAACTAAATCATAATTTCTTAAATTCCTTAAGGGAATTGAAGATTACAATGGTGACATGGATTTCAAAATAGCCGGCACTAATAAGGGAATAACTGCATTACAGGTATTTTTTTAAACCGATTTTGTTTCATTTTTATAATATTTAATAATGTCGTGAATCAGTATTTATATAATATTTGGCTTTTCCTTATTAGGCTGATATTAAATTACCTGGAATACCATTAAAAATTGTAATGGAGGCCATTCAACAAGCCTCAGGTAAGCCAAGCCAGTGTGCCTCATTCTTCTTTCATCATTATCTACTTTGTTAATGGAACTCTAATTCCTAGTAGGCTTATTATAAAAAATAGGCTTATTAGAAAGCATTGCTTTAGAAAATGAAATTTCATGTAACACCCTCAATCAAGAAGTATTAAGTTATTAGACACATAACTAACCGCCAAAGTGTGGGGCCACTAAAAATTCAAATTTTTCAAATTAACTAACTAAGATAATAATAATAATAGAGAAGGAAATACAAGTAGAATTGTCAAGGTAACAAATGTGAAGAGCTTTTATTATTAAGCTAAAAAATTTGAATTTTATGCCATAAAAACTAAGACAACTGTTGCTATAACTTATCATATTTAGTTTATGTAGTTATTATTTTTATTATGTTTTTAATCTCTCCTAGTGGCAAAGAAGGAGATACTACAGATTATGAACAAAGTTATTTCAAAGCCTCGGGCATCTAGAAAAGAAAATGGACCTGTTATAGGTAATAAAATTATTACTGATTTCATAAGATAAATGTTAATATATGAAAGTATATTATTATTTTTCAATATTTGTAACTCCATACACAAAACAAATCTATTTTGAAACTTTTATGATTTAAATGCTTTAAATTTGGGGGAATATTGATATTAGAGCTTTCAGTAATTTTAATCAGTAGCAAATTGTTTTCTATTTCATACTGAAATATTTGTACATGTATCTAGGCCAAAAAACTCTTAAGTAACCAGGACATGTTTTAGATTCATATATGTATTTATATTTTTGTCTATACTACATTTCAGAAACTGTTCAGGTTCCATTATCAAAACGAGCAAAATTTGTTGGACCAGGTGGATATAATTTAAAAAAACTTCAGGCTGAAACAGGTAAGTGTTATATGAAGTTTGGGTTTTTTATGTAATGCTAGGCCATGTAAGTTTGTCACTTCATTTCTATTGCGTTGCTCTAAAAATATATGTTTGGTAAATGAGAGGAAGACCAAAAGAAAAGAATATAACATAGATATGGCTTTACTGTAAGTTTTCTGTATGCCTATTAATAAATTAGCAAATGATCATCCTTCACTGTCTTCAAGAAAGATGACCTAGAATTCCTAGTTTTTTTGCAACAATTTAAAATCAAGCATTTAGAAAAATGTTTAGTTTTTCACTTTAGAGTTCTGCTTTAATTTTCTCTTACAATTACTTCTGCCATTTTTCACATAGCGTTACTCTTATTTTTAAATAGTAAGTGTAAAAAAATAAAAAATAAAGAGTAAGTGTAGGAATAGTAAGCTTTAATTTGTTTTTTTTCTGAAAGCAATCTTTGGGTTACCTAGTACTTACCAGCTTTGAGATTATTGAAGGAGAGTGAGGAGAGTCACCTTAGCCAGTTAAGATTGAGAAACTGACATGATTTCTTCCCTTATCCACTGTTCACCACTCTAAAGGATAAAAGGGAGAGAGAAGAAAAGTTGAAGAAAGAATTCTACTATCGTCTTTACTCATAATTAAGAGAGCAAAACTAAAAATCTCCAAAATTAGAACTTGCATGCTTTATCCCACCAGATTATGGGCTGCAAGAAAGGGGGGATATTGGCTAGCACAATCTGGATACATAACAGAGATGCAGGGTCTATTTGTTGGTAAATAAATCCCTTCATTCCTAAAGCATTGATTAAACATAGCACAACCCTGCCCAGCTACTTCCAGGTCACTTTCCTCAACTCACATCTTTTCAGACTAATCTCCACTGGAATGAACAAATTAACTTTAATATGTTAAATTATCTTTTTAAAAGGTGTAACCATTAGTCAGGTAGATGAAGAAACATTTTCTATATTTGCACCGATACCCAGTGCTATGCATGAAGCAAGAGACTACATTATGGAAATCTGCAAAGATGATGTAAGTATGGATCTTATAACAGTTATTTTTTTCTACTTTTTGTTACTGTTTTCTTAATGAATCTTACGGCTTATTTTGCACTTACAGCAAGAGCAGCAATTGGAATTTGGAGCAGTATATACCGCAACAATAACTGAAATCAGGTAATATCAAGTAATATGTTTTATTGGTTTTTTTAATAAGATTTATATTATAAGATTCATATATGTTTGCTTTATTTAGAAGTTATGTTTAGACTATATGTCAGTTACCATATAATCATTAATTATTTTAAGGTATAAATTTATTTTCTACATCAGTTTGTAGATTTTCAGTAACATGGTTCTGTAATTACAAATTATAATAATAGATTCTTCTGAATAGTTTAACCAAATTTCCCATCTTTTTAATTTTCCCAATAAACAGTTAACAAACCCAAAATAGACTATTAGCAATATTTAATTTTTCTTTCCTTTTGCTTTTTCTTTCTTTGGTATTTTTTTGTTGGTCTTAAGTACAATTTATTGCCTATGTAGTACATTTTATTTTTACTAGATAAAAAGATTGATTTTAAGGATCAGAAAATCCTTTTCCACGAAAAAAATTATCAGATGTAGCATGAATGTTCAAAGCAATTTGAAATGAATAATAAAAGGCAATGGGATAATGTAATATTAAAGGTGAGAACTACGAAATGAATGGCTGATTTTAGATTATAGAAAATAAGAAATTTTTAAATAAAGTAAGTATACCAGTTATCTAACCTCCTTCCTTAAATCACTGTGTAATAAGTTGATAGTAATTCTTAAAATATTTAATGTCAATTCAAAATTTTTTGAAAAATATTAAGAGAAATACAGAAAAAGAATATATATATATGTGTGTGTGTGTATATATATATATATGTGTGTATATATATATGTGTGTATATATATATATGTGTATATATATATATATATATATATATATATTTAAAGGCTTTTCACTGCATGATTTTCTGTTATCTTTTCTCTGTCCTTTGATACATAGTATTTAAATATTTAAATAGGGTATATTTTTAATTGAAAAAAGTAAGTATCCCTTTTAGACAATCATACTTCTTATAGTTATAAAAACATGTACTGAAACCTTAAACTTATACAATGTTATGTGTCAGTTATATCTCAATAAAACTGGAGGAAAAAAGAAAGAAAAAACATGTACTGGAGGGATTTTTGTTTTTTTATTTTCTCTTAGGAAAACATAATCACAGTTTGATTATCGATGGATACATAGATACTTAATGTTTTAACCAGGCCTATTTCCTTTTTTGTAGAGACAGTGGAGTAATGGTTAAACTATATCCAAATATGACTGCAGTACTACTTCATAACTCACAACTTGATCAACGAAAGGTAAAAAAAAAACAAAAAAAAAAACCAGACATTTGATTTTTCAAACTGCCTTAAAATAATCATAGTGAAATTTACTGGGCTGGTGAGAACTGTACACTCTGGCCTAATATAGAAAACCAAAACTGATAGAGATGCTGCTGACAAAAGGTTTTACATTATTTATCACAGATACTTGTTTCTCCTTCCATGACAGAATAGAAACGGCTCTTGAAAGTTTTGGGGTGAAATAACATCTAGAGTTAACACAAAGCAATTACTTAAAATAGCAATAACCCTGTTTTCCCAATTTTCTTGACCAACCAGTCAAGGCAAGATAATTCTTAGGACGTTTTGAAATTTACTTAATCTTTGTTATATAGTTCATAGGCAGAATATGAAAATACTCAAGAAAACAATGGGACAGAGGGCAGAAGAATAATAGGAGTATCTATTTTTACCATATATTAAAGCATAAAGCTATAGAGAACAAAAAAGTGTATTACTGACCCTGAAATAGATGATGCATAAAACAGAAATAAACTCAGTTATGGACAGGGGACTACATAATACAATGTTTACATTGTATTTTCAGTCAAAGAAGAATCAGAGATTATTTAGTAAATCGTATTGTTACAGCTTGTTATCATAAAGAAGGATCTCTACTCTTTTAATACCAAAATCCTTGCCCTAACTGGTTTGGCTCAATGGATAGAGTGTCGGCCTGCAGACTCAAGGGTCCCGGGTTCGATTCTGGTCAAGGGCATGTACCTTGGTTGCGGGCGCATCCCCAGTAGGAGATGTGCAGGAGGCGGCTGATTGATGTTTCTCTCTCATCGATGTTTCTAACTCTCTATCCCTCTCCCTTCCTCTCTGTAAAAATATCAATAAAATATATTAAAAACAAAATCCCATCTGGATCAAGGAGCTAAATGTAAAAAAATAAATAAAAAAATTGGGGCATGGAAGGCTGTTGAAAGAGGACTAGAATGTTTTAATCTTCTGCCTGGGTAAATATTTCTCAGCATGGTAACAAAGCCAAAATGTAAATAAATTAATAATACTGTATCTCATTATACTGCAAAATTACAATAAGATTGAAAGACAAGCAACAACTTAAAGAAAAAATGCTTGTAACATGACAAAGATTCATATATAAAGATCTTGTATAGGTCAGTAAGAAAGATGAATATCAATAGGAAAATGAGCAAAGAATATGACAGACCAATCATTTTTTAATGCCAACCAAGATATTCAAAGTTATCATTTTTCAACTTTAGGATAGTTGAAAATTCCCAGTATAGATAAGAATGTGGAAAAGAAATAGACATTCTCATACAGTGCTGATAGGAATATAAATTGGAGCCAACTCTTTGGAAAGTATTTGGTAAATATATATGAGTACCTTTGGACCTAAGAGTTCTACATAGATCTTTGTTCTAAGAGGATAATTAGAGTAGATGAATACATAATCATTTCAATACTGCAGTTAATTTTTTGTCAACTTTTTATTTTGGAAAATACACTGAAACCCATATCGCTTTCACCTATATTTATCAATTAGCAATTGCAACCCTGGAATTTTAAAATAAAGTAAGTGACCATATATAGGGGATTGGTTATACAAATTACATCATTTCAGTACTCAACTGTAATGTTTCATTTATTGATATGAAAAGACGGCTTCAACACATTGAATGAAACAAGCTCAGAAAGGTCCATTTTAACAAATGCAATACAAACACTAAATAGGGAAACATTTGAAGAGATACTCATTGGAGTGTTAGCAATAATTTATCTACAAGTAGAAGGGTTTTAGATGCTTTTTATTATCATCTGAATACTTCGGTATTATTTTAAATCTTTATAATTATGATTTTATAATCAGAAAAACCAATAAAGCTATTTTCCACTTGGGGAAAAATGGGTATTACCATAGATTTTAAGTAATTATAAATGACGACTAATAGTTTAACATGTTCTCTTTCAGATTCAGCATCCCACTGCCTTAGGATTAGAAGTTGGCCAAGAAATTCAGGTACTTGTATTCAACCCTTTAGCCTAGAATTGTAAATTGTACTTAAAGTTTCAATTATTGTTTCAAAAAGTAAGCTGAAAGAATCAAATCAACATTTGTTGTTCCACTTATTTATGCATGCACTGGTTGCTTCTTGTATGTCCCCTGACTGGAGATTGAACGCACACCATGGTGTTTCAGGAAGGACACTCTAACCAGGGCAATGTTTGTGATTTGTATTATTTATCTGCTGTGCTTCTTTTTTAACCTTAGGATTGCTTAAATAGACTCATTAAGGATTTAAGACAGTTCGTTCCCTCAAGGAGTCTATAGTTTACAGTTTAGTTAGAATAATAGTTCCATTTAGAGCTTTTAAAATTACACGAACAAGTCAGTGATGGCTATGCAGAGTCAGTGATTTAGTGACAGGACAATAGAACCCTGATAACTCTGTTAAGGATCTTGAATGTCATATTTAAAGAGTTGGGACTCTAACACACTGCTTGAAGATAAAAGTTTTTGAGTTTGATAAAAGCCGTATTGTTCAGTTCCAGAATTGATAACAAAATTGGCCTTTTTTAATAGTCCTTTTGGAGTTGATGAAAGAACTTATTGCCAGTCTGAGTTTCTTGGGCCACACCACCTTTTGTTCCAGTTATACCTAATACCCATGATCTGAGTAACTGTGGCTTATAATTTATTCCCAGTCTACAAACCCATTGTTCAAGTAGCCTCTAGGGAAAGATGAGAACTAAGACATAATATCTCTGTATAAGACTTTTCTTTTAACATCATAAGGGATTTTAAATACTGCCACAGTCGCCCTGACTTTCATTGTCTAAGATCAAGCCAAATAATCTCCAGTGTGATAGTCCTTTGAGCAGTAGTCTGAGTGACCTAAGTGTAATCCTGTATAGTTTGTAGCACAATTAGGCTCAAAAGCCCTTGTAGAATCATTTATCATGACTTTCACTTGATTTCTGGTGTAGGGACCTGCCCTGGAGAGAATAAGAAGGCACAAATTAATCTAACAGATTATAATTAGGCAAATAATACCCCGTCTCTTTTCCTTTGTTATAATCACTGCTTAACCAAATTATATTTATTAGCATATACCCTCACTTAGCCTGAGCTATGGTTTCAGTAAACAAGGAAAAACTTTAAAAGTAAA